CGAGAGTTGGTCCCCGGCGGCGCCCCGCCACCGCGCTGCCTGCGCGCCCCGGCGGGACCCGGGGCGGTGGGGAAGGGAGGGCTGCTCCCGGGCGGCGGGGGCGGGCGGCGAAGTTTCTTCCCTTCCCTCTGGCTTCGGAGGTACCTGTTTGTATAATAATGGGTGGTAACGGTTTGGCCGGGGGCCCCCGCTCCGCTCTCCGTGCGTGTGTGACCAACTGCTGCAGACTATATAAGGAATTACGTTTACGTTTCAGACTTGAGGGCTGCCGTGGGGTTGGTGGTTTTGGGGGTTTTTGTTTTGTCTCTTGTTCCCCCCCCCCACCCCCCCTTTGGTACGTGTGTTACTTTAAGATGCATTTGGAAGGTACACGGCAGGGGGAATAAACGCTCGCTCGTAACACCCACTCTCTACTTATTTTCTGGAAAATGGAGAAGTAGTTCGGTTCTCGTAGCGACTCTTCGCAATAGGATGTAAAGCAGGAGATTTTGTAACCTTCCTTGGCAATTTTAGGTTTTATGTGGCATTTCCTGTGCAGGGTCACAGATAGGAAGGCTTTCGCCTGCGATCCGAGATGTTTTCATACGCAGTGAACGGTCTCCGAAATAGATCCGAGTCACGATCGGTGCTTCTCCTCTCTAATCCTGACTGTTTCGGGCATAACGTGATGATAAATAATGGCCTTTCCAGGGGCTGACGAGATGATTTGATTGCTTTGAACTTAAGAGGGTTTTCTTATTTTTGCTGTGTGTATTTTCTAGCAAGTATTTTTGTTTGCACGCTCGTGTTATTAATTCCTTGTCCTAGTGTAAATATTTATATTTAGAGCATGATTTGGCTGTGCTAAAGGTAAGTTTGGAAAGTGCTTTTCTCTTTACCTTATTAAAAATGTTGATGATCAGAGAAAGGGGCTTTTCTTGTTGCTGACGACATGTGTGTGACATGTGAGTCTGAACCACCCAGCGTCTGTGCAGGAGCTGTAAACATGTTTACCTGAACAGGAAAGAAAATGGATTTTTCTCTTAAAGATCCAGTGATAGGAATATCATACTCTTAAAGCATATCAACAGATGACTTGAGAGAGAAATTTTCTGGAAACCTAGCTTTTGAGATCAACAGGGAAGAGAGATTCTTGATCGCTGCAGCAAATGGCAACTTGTGCAGGTAGAAAAAAAAAGATGGTGTTTAGTTTTCTCCTGCATGCATGTCAGCCCCCTCCTGTCTGCTGCTTTCATTCTCAAGGGAGGGATTTATTTACCACGCTTGCTGTCAGTGTTTTTCCTTTGTGCTTAATATTAGAAAACCAGATTTGAGGCTGTTTAGCACAAAACGTTTTGTCTGCAGTATGTATCACTTGCAGAAAACAAAAGGTGTATAAGATGTGGTATCATTCCAGGTATCTTTCATCTTCGTCACTTTTGGACCTCATCACTGCACCCGTTTTATTATAAAAAGCCTATGATAAACTAGTTTATCAACTAGTTCTGCAATGTAGAATGTAGTATGTCTTGTTTTAGGCTGGTTTTGGTTCCTTTTTTTGAGGAATTAAAACCAACTTAAGTCATTGTGCATTGAAGCATCAGGATCAGTTAGATAATAGATTCTGGATAATAGAGATTTCTCAGCAGTGGGTTTATGTTTGACTTGCAAATGTTTACTAAAGAAAATGGCTAGAAAAATGTTAACCCTTTAACCTTTAAAATAAATGAGACTTTTTTTTTTTTTCTAAATCTCTAAATGCACTTTGCTCTTATAGGTGAGTATCTTCTGTTGATGAGAGATCAGCATACAGGAGATGCTTCAGCAACTGGCTTGTTCGTAGTTTTCACTAAATCAGTTTTATGCTGTTCCAGTTGCCTTTTTCCCCACTTTCCCACAGAATGTGAGATTATTATAGAGAGAGATTGCACTTGACATCCAGTATACCAGTTAAGAATACTGGGCTGTGGCATTGAGTAGTTATACTGTAAAATCTCCTTCTGTTTATCTGTTGATAACACAGCTATTCTTGTACTGTAAACTTTTGTTTCTAGTTTTTTCTTTTCATCTCTGTGTTTGAGAGCCAGAACTTACGGCTGGCATCCTGATGCATTAACTGTAGCTGGAAAGACAGTCTTATCTTCTTAACTCTAGAGCTGGTTCCTTTTCTACCTTGTTTATTGGCCCTACAGGAGATCAGCAAAAGACCCGATTGGTGCTGCCATTAAAGCCTCCACTTACAAGAAAATCTGGCACTTCATACCTGACGAAAACTATACTGTGTCATTGTCCTTACTTCTGGCCAGTACATGAAAACGTCTGCTATGGCAAAGGAGCTAGTGAAGTGCTGGGACAATAGCACCATTCTGATAAAGCAAAAACGTAGCGCTGGTTGGCAGTCTCTCTTCCTATCTACCTTTTCCCCTTCTGCCCCTCTTTTGATAGAGAAATGAGGAGGAGAAAAGAGGGATGTGATTTTTGCCAGTCATCTGCATTACCACACTATGCGAATCCTGTGTGGACTTTAAATAGATTCAGTATCAGCAAAGGTTTTTTTTATTCTGAGTTGGCTTGCAGGATCAGGATTAGTTGCTTTCTTAGCATCTCTCATATATGTTATAGGATTGTCTGAATTCTTATTAAACAGCAAAACCAGAAGTCACACATCTTGTTCTTCAGCAATGCTGTGAGACAAGTAAAACAAGCAAATTATTTCAAACTTCTCTTACTAGAGGGTTAAAAAGATACCAGCCTTTTATATTGATGTTCTGAAAATAATGTAAGTATGCCTTCTGTTCTTCAGATGCATGTTTAATGGTAAGAAGAAGAATGTATGAAACTGAGTAAATTCTGCATGCTGTCAGGTATATATGAGGAGAGGGTATGAGGCAGGCTTTTTTTTTTTTTTACCCCTGGTAACAGTGAGTTCATTACTAAAAGGTCGCATAGATTGACTTGTTAGAGTGCTATTTCAGTTGCTTTACAGTTGGATTTCCTCTCTTTTTATTTTTATTAGATAATAATTTCATATAAAGTTTTGTTACAAAGCTAAGGACTGTAAGAAGATCATAAATGCCTTTGAATAAGGCAAAAGCATGGCGTATTTCTGTTAGCTCCAAGGTGTTAACTACTGGCAGGATGTCAGGTGTTAGTGACGCTTGGGATACAACATTCCTTGTCGTGCCTTTCTTCTCTTGCCCCCCTCCCTTTCTTTTTCACTAGGTATCATGTTTTCACTCCAACATTAATTTAAATTTGCAATTTGGGAATTGAGGAATGTAGCCCGAGTGAAAATTCCAGGCACAGTGAACAGGTCTGCATGGACAACTGAATTAACTGTTTGAGTCCAGGGAAATCTCTCATATAAACAAGTATGTTTTAACACTAAATACTGAAATATAATGGGAATACAGTTAAAAATGTCATTATCCCTTCATTTTTCTCTCAGTAATCAGTGCTTGTTATTGTAACAGTTCTAAAGCAGGGTGTTTTAAGGTACTTAGCTACCTGAGGCAGAGTTTTTTAAGGTGATTAGTTGCCTGAAACAGTTTTCCTTGCTCATAGGACTCTGGTAAACATGCTGCTGAAACAGTTGATGAAAAGTAGCAAGTAGGTGAAACTTTCCCTCTGAGGTGGGTTTCCCTGTCATAGAAGTCACTCAGATGAAATTTTTTAGTTAAAAGTCAAAGTCTGAGGATTTGACTTCTGTGAACTCAGCCCAAATTTTCTGTTGAATGTTTCCTGTTATATAAGATATCCCTCCCCATTGAGTCTTTCTGTTGACTTTGGGCTTTATTACAGGTCCCGTTAACAGCAGCGTTACTGATTTCAGTTAGGCCCTTGCTCTCTGTAAGTGAGCTCCTCCGTCGGCAGTGCGGGGGGAAGGGGTTCTGCAGCCATCCACTGCCTCCTTCCCCACTGGGGCTCAGGTGGTGGTATTAACCTGTCATTTCTTCTTAAAGAAGCTTTACAGTGCAGGGGGTGGGCAGGGGCTGGAGTGAACTAAAGTAAAAATATCAGTGCAGTGCCTTTCTTCATGTGGAAACATCTGTTTTAACAGGGTTTAAAATGCCAGCGAGGGATGGCAGACATTTTTAACATGCATGGGACTCTATTACTACGTTAAAGAAATAAAACCAACTTCTGTGAAGCTTGGGTTGTGGGTTTTTTTGCTTGTTTGTTTTTTAACTGGTTTTTTTTTTTGAGCAACTGTGCTCTATTGCAGGGGAGCTGCTGGAACTACAGTATCTAGCCAAATGGCTCTTAAGAATCCCTCCTGCTAAATTTAGTCATTATTATTTCCCAAAAATATAAGCTCATTGCTTTCAACTCATTAGCTGTTTGTAGTCATTTCAAAAACTCTAACTAATTGATATTGCAAGCTGATTAGAATACGGTGTGCTTTGTTGACGGTAAATCCAATATTTAACGGTACGTACTGCATCTCTGGAGATCATAAAGATTCTACTCGTGATAGGTTTCACACAAATACACAAAACAAGAGCTTGAAAAACGGAAATAATTCTGGTTTTATGTAGGCTTTCATAACAACTTTCGTGCCAGTTTTCAAAGTACAGTTCCAGATGAACTTTCCAGTGCTTAATATCAATATTCCTGAAGTTCTGGTCATACTTATCTATGTTTTTTTGAAAGGGCTCACCAGGTAGGATCTTCTCCATTACGGGCAAGTAAGCAGGACCTGGCTTGCATCTGTTGTCTCGAACTTTGGTACTTCATTCTGGCAGCTGTAATAGGCCTGTTATTTTTGAGAACTAAATTCTCAAGTGACTTACCCAAGGTCACACAGGAAGTCCATAGCAAGACTGAGTCTCAATCCATTTTTAATCCTTGGGACTACCCTTGCATTTGGCTTGATCTAGAGCCTTAAAGAGAAAGAACAGATTTATCATTTAGCAGTTGCTATTCCTTTCAGTTTAAGTATTTAAACTTTCATGCTTATTGTCTTGAAATACTTGTACTTTCAGCAAACAAGTGGCAATATGCAAAACTCAGTTTTCTCTTTAGTCATTTTTAGATGGTATTAAGATAGTATCTTCACTGGTGATGTTTCCTGTCTGTGTAGTCAATGTTTATGTAATGATGTGCCAGAGAAGTAGAATTTTGTCTTCTGGTGTTTTTTGTATTCCCAAAATTTAAGTTCAATGGTGTGTAGGTACGCAAAAGTAAAACAGAGCAGGAGGGAATTGGCTTAAGACCTACACTGTTAACATCAACATGCCTACTCCAATGTGTGGGGTGTCTAGAAGACTGTTTTCTTAGAGGTTAACATCTGGGCAGAGGTGTGATTTAATAGGATATTGGTTTCGTTGGGACAGTAATGACTAAAGAAGAGTCTCAGCATGTGGCTGGTATTCTAATATTTGAAAACGATCACTAAGTAAATAAAAAAAGCGTACGTCTTCCTTAAAACAAAGATTCCCCAGAAATGTGTAGCTAGATGTCAGGCCTGGAAAGTCTACTTGACTGGGACAAACACATGCCCAGTCTAGGTTTGACTACCTCTACTGTTCGTCACAAGCGGCTGCCACTGCTAAGGCGGAGCCCTGTGGGAAGTGGCTATGGGTGCAGGTGGGTGCTGCTCCCACCTGGGGGCCTGGGCAAGTGTGGAGAGCAGTCTGGTATCCTCATTAGGGAAGATGTGTGGTTAGCTCTAGTCATGAGGCAGTGGGATAGATCAGTTATGATGGGGACTCTTTCTTGTTGAGGGAAATGCTGTCCGAAATCTTCATAATTTGAAAAAAAATAAAATCAACAAAACCCCAAGCACACCATGGAGAGCAGAGGGATGTATGCATGAGTGGGCAGGTGTGCACGGGCGAGGCAAAGAGCATGTGTGGGAAGGAAGGAGGGCGGAATAGGGAAGGGAGTAGTCTGCTTCTCACTGAAGGTCTGATACCTTATTTCTGATGCACCTTGGTGGCCTTCCTGGGAGCGATGAATCTGGTCCCTGGTTAGCTGCATGAGAAGATCACAGTGGGAAATAGCTTTGACCTCAGTTGACTAGGTGATGCCTTGAAACACTGGAATTGTTGGGGGATCCTATAGGGGGTTTCGTGTGTGTAGTTTTTTGTAATGCTTTCTGCTTTCATGTTATGTTGGCAAGTTTTTTAAACTTCTCACTAAGCCATTGCCTCCACTATTCTTATTGAGTCAATTTCTTGAGC